TGAAACATCGTTCTGTGAAACACCATTTCCCATAGGAATGAATTGAAAACCGGTTAATCCGTTCCAATTGGAACAGATTGCCGTCTTTAAGTGAAAAAACCCATAGGAAACATCGTTGAGTGAAACAATGTTTCCTCCATTGGAATGTATTGAAGCCGACTCAATACATTTCAATGGCTTTGCAAAGTCCTTTTTCGCTCCTGTAAAAGTGCCTTACAGTGTTTGGAACAGGTTTTAAATGCTTGCAATCGTTAGCCCACCTACTGAACCCTATGCAAACTTAATTTGGTGTTGTTCTGAGTTGTCCTTAATTTTTGGCGATTTTTTGAATTTTCTCTCATTGGAATGCATTGGACGGAAAGTTCAATACATTCCAATGAGAGAAAATTAAAACAATCACTAAAAATTAAGGACGACTCAGAACAACATCAAATTAAGTTTGCATAGGGTTCAGGAGGTGGGCTAACGATTGCAAGCATTTAAAACCTGTTCCAAACACTGTAGGGCACTTTTACAGGAGCGAAAAAGCACTTCGCAAAGCCATTGAAATGTATTGAGTCGGCTTCAATACATTCCAATGGAAGAAACATTGTTTCACACAGCGATGTTTCCTATGGGTTTTTTCACTTAAAGACGGCAATCTGTGCCAATTGGAACGGATTAACCGGTTTTCAATTCATTCCTATGGGAAATGGTGTTTCACAGAACAATGTTTTACACAACGTTGATTATTTTGGAACTAATTAACATCGTTGTGTGAGGCACCACTGTACACCCAATTCAGATACATGTATTTTATCATCTGACATTTCCATGTCACTGAATGCCCAAAGGATCGCACATAGGTCAGAGTTTGAAAATAGCTTGTCCTAGAGTGATTCCCTTGGACAAATATTAGGTAGCTTCCTATACATCCAATAAGACATAATGTTGTTGAAATAAAACAGCTGTTCCTGTTTGTGTGATCAGCCCACCACAATGGCGTACCATACATCTTCTGAAAAAAAAATATTGCAAAGAAACCTTAATATTTACCTTCACAGAGTTTCTGCTTTATTACTTCTCTTATTCTGGATATTGCAATATAATCTTCAACATAGAACACATATGTTGATGATGGCTTGTTGGCAATTGCCTTCAGTTCATCCTCTTCTGTTTCCGAACCAACTCCAATGGCAAACAGAGTGATTTTGTTTCTTCTTGCCTCAGCTGCCACATCTTTGACATCATCTTGTGACTTACCATCAGTGAGAACAACCGCAATTTTTGTAAGGAATCTTGAGGATTTAGCAAATAGATGGTCAAGCGCAAACTGAATTGCTTTCCCTGTTCTTGTATTTCCACCCAAGTACTGTATATATTCCATTCCTCTGACTAGGTTTTCATTGGAATCGTGAGACCCAAGTGGAATTTCAAGTACAGGATAATCACTGTACTGCACGACTCCAACTTGAATAAACTTTGGTCCTATGTTAAAGTTACTTGTAATGTTAACAAGCCATCTTTTGACAATTTCAAAGTTTTCTGGGCCAACGCTGTAGGAACCATCCAAGATGAAAGCTAGATCCGTTGGGGCGGTTCGGCAACCTTAGAAAAATAAAGAAAGAAGGAACAGAAAGTAATTGTGTTGCTGCTGCTCTTTTTAAACAGTCTAGAAATCAACATTTAAGTGAGTGGGTTCAGAGTGCCAGTATTCAGTGTTCTGTCTTCAGATATCTAGACCAGAAGAAACAATTTATTCTCAATGGCTCCAATTTGAAAAAAAAGACCCATCAGTCTTAATGCTTCTGTAACCTAGGACATAAACCTTACTGAATACAGGTGCATTTACTTACTTTAAAAAAGTAAACATACACAGGACTATGTTGTGTCTCTCATGGAAAAAAACAGGATTCTGACAGATACTGTCTGATTAATTTCAGCAAGCCTTAAGCACAACTATCTGTGAGGTGAAACTTGTATGTCCTATTTCTGGTTTTATCATCTGGCTATTTTAAGCCTTTCAGGAAAATATCTAGTGAGTTAATGTACTCCTACAACCATCTGCTAACTTTCTAATGGAGCTAAGGAAAAATCACTGCATTACTATGGCCACTGGTGACCTCAGCAAGTGTTCGACAGTTCTGACAGAAATGCAGTACAGTGGACCCTTGACTTACGCACGGCTCGATGAGCGTACTTTTCGAGGTACGGACTTCTCCAGCCGCAAAATTTCCCATTGACTTGCAGCTGGAGAATCAACCTATGGACCAGAAGGGGAAGGCGGGGAAAGCGCCAAATTCAAATTTGGCACTTTCCCCGCCTCCCCCTTCCAATCTGTAGGCCGCTGATCATGCCTCCGGATGCCTTCCAGGGCTTCTCCGCCGCCATGGGAGGCATCTTGGAGGTCCCCCCGCCGCTGATTGTGCTTCAGAGGCACGATTGGTGGCAGGGGGACCTCCAAGAGGCCTCCCATGGTAACGGAGAAGCCATGGAAGGCCTCCGGAGGTCCCCCTCGCTGCTGATCATGCCTCCACAGAGGCACAAACGGCAGTGAGGGGGACCTCCGGAGGCCTTCCAGGACTTCTTCGCCGCCATGGGAGGCCTTTAGGAGGTCCCCCACTCCCACCAATGCAGGCTTTTCAGGGTGGACCAGGCTACCAGGGGAGGGCTTCCCCTGGTAGGCCCAGTCCACCCTGGGAACACTTGCGTCGGCAAGGGCAGGGGACCTCCAAGAGGCCTCCGGCAGCGGCGGGGAAGCCCTTGGGCAGCAGCAATGGAAGCAGTCGGGGAACCCCTGGAAGGCTTCAGACAGGTAAGGTGTTTAGTTTTTTGTGGGGGGCATTTTTTTCCTTAGGCCACACGGATTACAGGGTTTTCAATGCATTCCTATGGGAAATTGACCCTTGACCTACAGACTTTTCGACCTGCGGCCACCGTTCCTATACGGATTAACTCCGTAGGTTGAGGGTCCACTGTAGAACTAGAGAAGCAATGTATACTTAATTACTCTGTGACTGATATTTTGTTGTTTAGTGCAATAATTTGCACTAGACTAGACCCACTGAATCAGTGGGGATTTGATGAGTCAACTCCTCCGTCAATTCCATTGGTTCAAATAGCATTCTTCTAGTAGTGATTTGCTTTATTTTCAGAAGCTGGAACTAGAGTAGTCCCACCAAATCAACAGAATTTACAGAGAAGTTGACTCACCACACCTCTGCTGATTCAATGGAGTTTCTCTAGTGCAACTTACTATGCTAAGCAATGGGATTTCAGCCACTGTGTACTTCCAATTCCCCGCCCCAAAAGTAACATAAAAAAGAAAAAGAAAAGAAACCATACAAATCCAGTATGAATTAATATACGGTCAATTATACTGAATAAAAGGATACAAATGATTTTTTTTCTTTGTTCCTTGGGAAGCTAAAACATGGATCTGTATGAACCAACCTGTTCGCTTCCTCTGAGGGCTTGCTCTGTATACCACCATCTAATCAGGGTAGAATGGTGGAAATACACATTCAGTTGGTGGGACAGAAGCAACTTTGAGCAGCACCCTGTGGAATTCGCTCCCCTAAGGGATAGGATTGGCTCTACCTCTGCTTTTTGATGAGCAGTGAAGGACTTTTTTTAAAAATGTAGCTTACCTTTCAGTGACAGCATGATTCAGCTGTTCTTCTTAATCTTTTCTGCTTGCTTTTGAATGTTAAGCCTTGTTTGGTTTAGAAGTGTCTTAAATTCTATATTGTATATACTGAAGGCCAACGTAGAATGGTTTGCTGACATGAGTAAACATGCAAAACAAGACTACAGACCCACATCCATCCAGAGGCATACTCCACAGCAAGGATTGGCAAAGTGTGACTTGAGGGCCGCACCTAGCTCCCAGAGGGGTGCAGCCCTCAAGCACTCCTATATATACACTTTTCTTTTTTCTTTTTTCTGGTTGGGGGAAGGGCTCTGAAAGACTCTTTGTGTCCTCTAGCAGGCGGGGCAACCATGTTCTAAAAAGCCCCCTGTAGCCCTGCTATACCACCATTTTTTAAAAAAAAAACTGGGCCTCCTAAAGAGTGTAAGAGGGCTTTGAAAAATTGCAGAGGGGAAAGGACGGGAATCAAATGAATGGAGATGTACAAGGCTCAGACATCGGCAGGTTGACCACTTTTGGGGTTTTTAGCTAAATCCCTGTTGTCTTTATTTGTTAACACTCTCTCTCACTCACTCACTCTCTCTGTGCATGCGTGCGTGCGCGCGCGCGCGCGCGCGCACACACACACACACACACACACACACATTTAAAGCTAAAACAGTAAGAATACACTTTTTTTATTTCTTATTTTTACTGACGGATCTGTTCCTATTCATGGGATCAGGTTCCTGTTTTGAGAAACAGGAACTTTTAAACAGATGTATTATTCATCTGTATGGGTGGGATGGCAATGCATCAATATACATCGTTTTCCACAGGATACAGAGTACAGTTTAAGCTATTTAAGACACCACTGAATATTTTGTGGTTTTAATAAGTCACTGAAGAGAAACCACAAGCTCTCAAAAACCCACAGCAAATGGTCATGTCTAACCACGTTTAGTTACTTCTAACCACACAGGACTCTAATCATATGCCAAAGTGTACCAGATCATCATGTGTGGTCAAGTCAATTCTGACTTACGGTGACCTTTTTCAGGGTTTTCCTCCTCCGTGTACCTATATTACACAATGGCTTTAGCAAGCATCATTGTAGTGAATTTCTGGCTTCCATTTTATTTTCTCCACAAAATCAAATTAGGGATTTCAGGGTTTTCCTCCTCCGTGTATCTATATTACACAATGGCTTCAGCAAGCATCATTGTAGTCAATTTCTGGCTTCCAATTTATTTTCTCCACAAAATCAAATTAGGGAAACTCATCTCTTTATTTAACCTTCTTAGCAACTTTTTGATTAGAATCATTATTCATTGATACTTCAGTTCTCTCTCTCAATCCTGAAACCTTCTGGAAGAGTAACGCGTGTGCCTGTATGTTTTATCTACCAAGACCATGTACACTACAGTGCAAATTATGGGCTAAGAATTGTGGCTTTCTATCTCAACCCTTGAGTAAGCCTGGTCCTGCGTGGGTCACATCTGATCTGGTGAAGGGGCTTCCCAGACAAAACCTTTGAGCAAAACATCAATATTCTATAGAGGCCAGATTAAACAAGTATTTTGGGCATCTGCCTCTTTAGTGCTTAAAAACCCATACCACTGCCTTTGTGAGTCCATATGTCTTCCCTACAGAGCAGACCAACAGTCAGAACTGTTTGGGAAAATATGGTCTGCTGTATACAGTCAATTCAAGGTTTTCTGTCACTTCTGACTTTGTATTTATACAATGGCTTTCCATTTGCCTTCTGTTGTTCAGCAAAGGCAGCCTCTCTCTACACCACATTAATTTCTAGTTCTAAGAATACTGTATTATTATTATATTATGCCTTCCTATGTCTCAAAAAGTATGGGAAATGTAAGTAAAATGTTATGGTTGAAGCTTTGCCGCCCCTAAAAGTAAAGAAATTTAGACTACCAAACAAATTCCTTTTCTCACTGAAAATAGGTGCACTAATGTATAATTTTTGTCCTTTCACCTCAAGTAATACTACTTCATAATCCTACACCACATTTCACTCTATATAGAATATTACCATGGGTGTGGAAGAGCTGAAATAATATGCAGGTGTTGACAACATCAACATTTACACTGATTTCAGTGTGGCTCTCACCTTTGTAGTATCTTTGTAAAGGTAATAAGAAACTTACTTATTTGATAGTTATGTAGAAACAAGTGATTCTTGTTTATCAAAGTCAGAGTTGGGGCTAAACAACATGAAATGTACAAGATCCATGACTGGCTGTGATCTGCTTTTTTGTGACCTTTGAAACTGGCTTGACTCTCCTCAAGGAGTTAGAAAAAAAAAACAAAGTTTGTTGCTGGTTTTCTCTAGCTTGTTGAGAAAAAGATCAGCAAGACCACCCTGTTAGGACACCATTCTAATTCGCCAGTCCAACCTGTGATAAGACTGATTAAGTAACCTGCTTATTGTTTACATACAATCTGCCAGAATTGGCCTGAAACCTTCAATTATAATGACATACAGCCTGGAACTTTGTGCCATTTATAATGTTTAACCTCATGTCAGGTATTTTCCCCATGGTTTCAGTCACACAGAAAAGTGGGCTGTAATTCAGTTGCAAGATTCAAATGGAACAACAAGGCATAGTAAGGTTCTATGCGAATGACATGCAGCTGACTCTTCTTTCTCTCTTCTTACCAACTGGAAATCAGCATTATAATACTGGACAAACTCTCACTTTCACAACTGGGGCCAATTATTCATATGTAACAAATTATGATTTGTTAACAAGGGAGAAGAGAAAGAGGACACAGCACACAAGAGGAAGGAGGAAGTAAGGGGGCGAGGAGGAGTGATCAACCCCAAGGCATGTTTGCATAGCAAACATTATATTTGAACAAAACTATGTATTATTATTTTTTTTTGAAAGTCATGATCTGGATTGAAAAAATCAACCAGAATTCTATTGTTAGTCCCAACTAGAGATGGGCACAAATGCCAGTCCGGCATTTTATGCCAGTTCGTTTTTCAGCACAGCAATGAAATTGTTGCTTACGATTTTATTTCAGGAGGAGCATGGGGGAGAGGTGAGATGGGAATCATTTTCAAGAAAAGCTCCACATTAACAAATGATGGTTGCAAATAATGTTGGTTCTTACTTGCTCTTCCTTCACCATCTTCAGCTGAAATGTAATCATGCAGCAGCAACATTAAAACTGCCTGAAGAATCTTTACGTTCTTTGCCATGTATCCAATATTTCCAGCACTTCAGATCCTAAAATAAACTAGAAAAAGACATGGTTCTTTTAATACAATGGCATTAAATGCTCCAGTTGCATAGAAGAAAGAGCACAGCAATCATGACCACAGTCTGTTTTTTCTTAGTACCATCCGAAATGTGTTGCCCAACAACAGGATAATATGGGGTGCTTCCGGATGAAGCTTTTATTATGCAACTGCTCTGCCTCAACCACTGAATTTTGTAAGAGGTCCAGAAGACATATATAACTGTCCATGTATTCTCCCTTTTCTCTCATGTTTCTTCTTAATGGGATAAAACCCTTCAGGGAGGTACGGGTGGAATTCCATGGTAATGCTTTCTGATTGATAGTGAAAGGAGCAATCCGACTGAACGCACACCCAGAATCTCCAACCTATAGTACGAGTGAAGATTGCTGGAGCTTCTCTTCCACAGATGAAGAGAAGAAAACACAAGAGCTAAAGGGCTTCAACAGTTTTTATACCAGAAGTTCCCACTCTTAGGTCCTCAGATATTCTTGAATGGATACTCCCAGAAACCTTCACCACTAGCTGTGCTGGCCAGTTGGAGTCCAAGAACATCTGGGGACCCAAGGTTGGTAACCACTCCTATTAACCACTCCTCCCCCGCTCCCCCTCAAAAAAGACTCAACATCATGGATTACCAAGTAGTTTAGCTAAAATTAAAGAGAAAACGTTGGCATGCAGCTACATCAACTGTCCACAGACATCCTATTACATTATCAGCGGTATGATATGAACACTCTCAAACTTTGCAATATTATAAAAAAGGACTTAAACTATACTAACAAAAAAACCACAGGTAGATGCGATATAAATGCACAATTTAAATCAGTTTCCCCAATTATAGGTAAACAATAACAGCAGGAAGATTAAGCAAACTTTAATTACAATAAATGTGCACAGCATTAGCTCATTATCTATATTCTCCACCCAACCTGGCCTTGTCTTCATCTGTTTATGTTAATTGAAAACTACAAATTACTGAACTATTTCCATTTTGGCATTGGAAAGATGAACGAAAATTGCACAGCATTAGCTCATTATCTTTATTCTCCACCCCCTTTCTTTATCAAATTTACAAGGTTGGCTTCTTGGAACCTGGCCTTGTCTTCGTCTGTTTATGTTAATTGAAAATTACAAATTACTGAACTATGTCCGTTTTGGCATTCGAAAGATGAACGAAAAAAAAAGGAAGGAAGACCACGTATTGACCATCAGCAAGACTCACGATCAAAGAAAAGTGAAGGAATTTGCCCAAGCACTTGAGGAAACCCTTCCAGGTCCGGCTAATGTAAATGCACCTGAACGATGGGAACATTTCAAGAATGCTGTGTATAACACCGCCTTATCCACCTTTGGCAAGAAGACCAAAAAGATGGCTGACTGGTTTGAAGCCCACTCCGAGGAGTTAATGCCAGCCATTGAGAATAAGAGAAGAGCTCTAGCAGCATACAAAGCCTGTCCTAGCGAGTACAACTTGCAAGCTCTTCGAGCTGCTCGTAGCCAAGTCCAACAGGCTGCCAGGAGATGATCCAATGATTATTGGCTTCAGCTCTGTTCTCAGATACAGACAGCAGCGGACACAGGTAACATCAAAGGAATGTATGACTTATCCACCTTTGGCAAGAAGACCAAAAAGATGGCTGACTGGTTTGAAGCCCACTCCGAGGAGTTAATGCCAGCCATTGAGAATAAGAGAAGAGCTCTAGCAGCATACAAAGCCTGTCCTAGCGAGTACAACTTGCAAGCTCTTCGAGCTGCTCGTAGCCAAGTCCAACAGGCTGCCA